GCTGCGACCTTATTTGAAAAATATACAATCGCCAACATTTTTGGTAATAACCCTTCTTCAAAAGGCGGTCATTTGTATGTGCTATGAAGAAGGGCTGTTGCCCTGAATGTAAGGTATGGTCAGATCAGTCTCACAACCCACACTGTGCGGGAGAGCTCCTCATCCAGCAGTGGAGTTGACGGAAGGCCTGTACAGGTGGGTAGCTTGCTTAGTGAGCTGCCCGCCTCGCCGCACTGCAGCAGTGAGAGGCCGCTCGCTGCTCCCCGGTCTTCCCGTGTCACAGAAATTACTCGAACCCCGAATGATGTCACAGCGAGGTCACGGTGGCAGCGCCCTCCAGCCGTAGGCTCAGATTTGTTCACAAGCAATATGATAATAACGAGGGCATTCGGTATTTGTGCCAGGCTTATAGCGCAAGGCAATCACGAACGAAGGTGCCGCCGTGCTTCCCAGATCAGTAATTTGCGGGTAATTTTTATTTACTAAGAAAATTTGGACCACAATGGGCTACGTCGTTTCAAAATGACATCACGGGATATTAAACACCCACTGTGAAGCTGACCGCGCATATTTTACGGTTACTGCATCCGCAGTAATAACCAAGGCAGCCTCTCAGATTCCACCCGCGAACCTCCGCAACGAGCGTCGAACGCGTTGCCCCTGGACTGCCCCGGCCAAGTCGATGATGAAGATCAAACTCGTGCCAGACGGGCCGAGCTGTAAGCCACACAGCCTGGGTGTACGTACAGTATGTCACGCACTCGTAGTTTGGCCTGCACGTTCCGTGTCAAGCCTGCTGTTGACCATAAATGATGACAAAATAATCGTCAGCATCGCCGTGGAGACTTTAAGTAGCTAAATATACAAGCGGGCAATACATCGCCTCCAAATACCATATCTCGGTGCCTCGACACACAACATGAAAGTATGTTTTACACATCTCATCAGTCACACGGTCTGTCTTCTGGACACGCATGATTTCAGCAGCAGCGGTTTCAACACAAGCAAACTCTGGACTGGTTCCGACATTAGGTGTGTCATTGGTCAGGCTTGCACATACCAACATGTTATCAGGCAGGGGCAGTTGGGCAGGCAGTTAATGGGTGGGCAAGCTGTGCGGTCAGCGACCAGCAAATCAGCAAGATCTCTGACCTCGAGATAATGTCAAACGACAGTGTCACCGACCTCGCCACCGTGCATAGCAGGCGGCCCCATCTGCTATGCCACGGAGATAATGCTGAGCAAACAGACGCATGTTAGCTTTGCATCGTATTCAGTTAACATTGTTATCGTCACTCACAAAAGCTGGCCATGTTCTGCCAACGCCGCAGCCTAAACTCTAAATATGAAAAATGTTCCTGGATTTGTGCGATTAAATTACAACCGTCTCTTACAGCGCCAGCTGTGCTAAAGACTGGCGCCTTTTCTGTTGTTGAGAATGTTGTATAACAACCACGCAATAAAATCAGCAGAGAGACTTTATTTGAGAACTGTCTACACAACACTGAAACTAAAATCTTTGGGCCCCATATTGTTCATGGGTGGATATTTTTGCACGTGACTTCCGAAAAACCCCCGTGGCAAACTTTTGTGAAGCCGCACATTGCTGATGAGGCTCACCGAAAGCGAAACTTGACAACGGTCTATGGTTACCTGGTTTACTAACACGACTGGGATCAATTTGAAAATAATGCTTACAGATTACACAATTTCCTTTAACCATTTGTATAACAGTGTAGACAAAAAGGACTCAACATTTCTCTGGGAAGACAGATAACAGATCTCAGTGTGGGACGTTAGCGAGGAGAAAAAACACATGCCAACCATACATGGACACAAATATGGGCCAGCCTGCTACCAGATTAAGTTCGTACAGTATCTCGCTGCTCACACAAGCATGGGGAGGAGCATCCCTCACTCCACTGGTGGCCCGAGCCAGCAGTGGAAATACCACACTCCCATGGCAGGACCCAGCGTCTCCACAGAGGACCACAGACCACTGAGTCCACTCGCTCCTGAGTTTCCCACGAGCAGCACCTCGCTCACCTGAACGTCTCCAATTTTTGAGCGAGTCACTGATCCTTTCTGGAGGCCACGGCAAAGTAGCCCGCCGTGGGGCCCTCCACGGAGCGATGCCGGTTTGTCCCTACGGCGCGCGTCAACAGCCTCAAAAAGGGCATGGGGACAGAGGTGACGACCGTCGCTCACGCGCAAAGAGGATTACGTGTCGTGCTTTTGCAACGAGGTGACGGCACAGCCGGGCACGCGCCGGGCACCAAGAGGCGAGTGGGAGGGTGCGGCCGCACGTGCGTGACGCGAATGACAACATGTGTGCACGCGCACGGCACCGCCACAGGTCATGGAGGTCACCCTCAAGGGCCTCTGATGAACCCGTCAGGAGTTCACGTGCTCGTGAGACAACGCGGGGCGATGTGGTGAAGAGGTTTCGGGATATTGAGGTAGTGCCAGCAGTGGATTCATCACGGTTGATGATACCGTTATGGGCCAGTGAGGCAGAGATGTTTCTCTCATTATGAGACATCTCCTTTACCAGTGGCAAAATATAGTAGTAGGCTTTTACCCTTTAAACTGGTCCAACACCAATGGAGACTAGGCTCTAAGAAAAGCTGTCTCGGATGTGGACCAATCAACTTCAAGGACAGTGTATATCATTATCATCATCAGGAGTTGTTTCTTTTTGTTTGCATTTTGACTGCTTGTGTTGCGGTTATTGCAAACATGATGCCTTGTATAAAGGTGTCAGTTTTTGTACCAGTTTAAAGGGTAAAAACCTACTACTATGTTTCTCTCATTTTGTCCACTTGCCAGGAGGCTGTGGTGATATTGCACGACTGTGGTTTTATGTTCCATGAAATGTCTCGTCGCCCGCTGCAATTGCTGTCAAGTTCACACACTCACCTCATTCTCACACTCAAAGTCCATCACACTAACAACCATGACCAACATTCTCCCACCCTCACCTCCCCAACCTCATATCTCATGCCAGGGACGTCGCGATGCGTAGAGTCTTTGATTAATATTGCTTCTTCAGGCTCATGATACATGAAACGTGCACGTAAAAATCAACGACTGATGCTAATAATGTGTTAATTGTATGCTACTAATAAGTTCAGGCTAATTGGGGCAAATTAAAGGATACTGACAAGGCAGAAAACTAACAGATAAACAACACGTAGTAACGATGTCAAAAAGAGACACACAAAACTTGACTATTGAATGAAACGGCAACCTTGAATCTCATAAAGTTCACTGCTGGGTGAGAACCACGATAGGCCAGAGGTCGCAAACGGGTTTTGATTCCTTACCCGTACCCATGCCGCACCAGGGTCGCAAATGGGTACCCGTATCCGTACCCGGCCGGGTACGGGTACCCGTTCCCTACCCGTATCCTACCCGTTCCCTACCCGTATCCTACCCGAAATGAGTGACAAACGGTTACTCACCAGTGACTCACGGCCTACCCGTACCCGGCCGCACCAGGGTCGCAAACGGGTACCCGTACCCGGCCGGGTACGGGTACGGGTAGCCGGGTATCGGGTAGGGTACGGGTATCGGGTACCCGGTTGCGACCTCTGCGATAGGCCTAACACACCCCACTCACCTACAGGCCCTCGCCGCTCCCTCCCTCACCATCATCACCCTCGCCCTCAAATCCTTCCTCTCACTCTCAAACCCTCACTTCTTATATCCTTATCCCCTCACCTTTAAACCCTGACACTCTCCTCACCTCACCGTTCAACCGGAATCCTCACGCTTTCCACCTCACCCTCAAATCCGCTCACCATCACGACTCATCCTCAAACCCTCGAAACTCCGCCCTCATCACCTCACCCTCAAACTCACCCCTCACCCCAACCCTGAAACCCTCACCCTCTCACCCTGTCCCTCACAAGCCATCTCACAGTCACTCACCCGGACCTCCATACTGTAGAGACCCACCAAGACATCACCTTTCTCCACCATCACACAACACTCAAGCCACCATCACCCAACACTCACACCACCATCACCCAACACTCACACCATCACACCCAACACCCACACCATCACACCCAACACCCACACCATCACACCCAACACCCACACCACTATCACCCAACACTCACACCACCATCACCCCAACACTCACACCACCATCACCCAACACTCACACCACCATCACCCCACACTCACACCACCATCACCCCACACTCACACCACCATCACCCAACACCCACACCACCATCACCCAACACTCACACCACCATCACCCCACACTCACACCACCATCACCCAACACTCACACCACCATCACCCAACACTCACACCACCATCACCCAACACTCACACCACCATCACCCAACACTCACACCATCACACCCTGACCCCCCCCCCCCGTCACATCCCCTCACACCGGGACCCCCCCCCCCCCCCGTCACACCCCCTAGACTCAACCCCCCATCCTCCTCCTCTTCCTCACCATCACCACAACAACAACAACATCCTCTGGCGCACACGCCCCCCCCCCCACCCTGCCATCCCCCATAAAATAACAACAAAGATCAGCAGACAAGCCAACCCGTCCCCGTCAACATATCCACATACGAAATAACAAGTCCACCCATCGGCACCACGGCCTTATTGGGAGTGCAATTACAGCAAATTCAGCCGCATTCATCCAATAACAAAGACAACACCTCAACTCAGCGAACCCTCACCCACACATCATCATCATCATCACGTATCCGCCACTCACACTCGCCCCGGCATCGCGGGTGTCATCCCAGCGAGGACCCCGAGCAGCCGGTTGACAATGAAGGGGTGTACGGCATGTGATGGTGATGATGCTGATGATGGTGATGATGCTGATGATGGTGATGATGCTGATGGTGATGACGATACCTCTCGCTCGCCCTCTTGTCTCTGTGTCCCTGAGTCTCCTTGTCCCCGTGTCTTTGTGTCTCCGTGTCTCGCTGTCTCACCCACACGACTCCTCCTTTATGCACAAAAGCGACGCGACCGCGTGGGCACAGCCTGATCCCGGAGCGGATCTCCAGCTCGTGTATCCTGGAGCGGATTCCCAGAGTCTGGAGCCCGGAGCAAATTCCCAGAGTCTGAAGCCCGGAACGGATTTCCAGAGTATGGAGCCCGGAGCAAATTCCCAGAGTCTGAAGCCCGGAACGGATTTCCAGAGTATGGAGCCCGGAGAAAATTCCCAGAGTCTGAAGCCCGGAACGGATTCCCAGAGTATGGAGCCCGGAGCAAATTCCCAGAGTCTGAAGCCCGGAACGGATTCTCAGAGTATGGAGCCCGGAGCAAATTCCCAGAGTCTGAAGCCCGGAACGGATTTCCAAAGTATGGAGCCCGGAGAAAATTCCCAGAGTCTGAAGCCCGGAACGGATTTCCAGAGTATGGAGCCCGGAGCAGATTTAAAAAATCTGGAGCCCGGTGTGGATTTCCAGAGTCTAGAGCCCGGAGCAAACTCCCAGAGTCTGAAGCACGGAGCGTATTCCTAGAATCTGGAGCCCGGAGCAGATGTTAATAATCTGGAGCCTGGAGTGGATTCCCAGAGCCTGGAGCCCGGAGCAAATTCCCAGAGTCTGAAGCCCGGAATGGATTTCCAGAGTATGGAGCCCGGAGCAGATTTAAAAAATCTGGAGCCCGGTGCGGATTTCCAGAGTCTAGAGCCCGGAGCGGATTTCCAGAGCCTGGAACCCGGAGCAAACTCCCAGAGTCTGAAGCACGGAGCGTATTCCTAGAATCTGGAGCCCGAGGCAGATTTTAATAATCTGGAGCCCGGTGCGGATTTCCAGAGCCTGGTGCCCGGGGCAAACTCCCAGAGTCTGAAGCCCGGAGCGCACTCCAAGAATCTGGAGCCCGGAGCAGATTTTAAAAATGTGGAGCACGGAGCGGATTCCCAGAACCTGGAGCCCGGAGCAAACTCCCAGAGTCTGAAGCCCGGAGTGCACTCCGAGAATCTGGAGCCCGGAGCAGACTTTAACAATCTGGAGCCTGGAGCGGATTCCCAGAGTCTGGAGCCCGGAGCAAACTCCCAGAGTCTGAAGCCTGGAGCGCACTCCTAGAATCTGGAGCCCGGAGCGGATTCGTCGCGTTTCGATCCCGGAGCGTATTTATGGCCGTTTAGTGGACCCAGGCATGAAGATGCAATAATAACACAAATATAAAACCAGGCGGAGAGCTTTAGGGTGGAGTATGGATTGTGGAGTGATAAAACCCAATAATAGCCTGTAGAATATGGTGTTTAAACCAGGAGTGGATTATCCTTTACAATGGTGGTGAATGAAGTGTTAATACCGGCTTATATAGAGACTGGAGAAGAGATAACAGTGTGAAATCCAGGAGCGGATTATCACCAAGGGGCCGTCCATAAATGACGTCACGCGATTTTGGGCGATTTTTGACCCCCCCCCCCTTCGTCACACGGCGTCACAAAAAGTCAGACCCCCCCTCCCTCAAATATGACGTCACAAAGCTCTGCCCCCCCCCCCCCAAAGTAAAACATGCTTCAAACCACTTTAAATTATTTTCATTGTAGTGCGTATTCAATGTGGCGCTGCACTCTGATGTTGTAGGAGAAACAGTTATTAAAAAGTCTATTTAATTAAGTAGAACGTGTGGACCAATCGGTTTCAAGGACAATGCATATGTTAACATAGTGTGTTTTTTTTTTGTTAGAATTTTGACTGCAAGTATTGTGGTTAATGCAGACATGAATCCTTGTAAAAAGGTTTCAGTTTTGTTGCCAGAAAAAAGGGAAAAAACCCTATTATTAGAATTTAATGTGGCGCTGCACTCTGACATTCCCAAAACGCTAGGGGCCGACAGAGGACCGGCTGAGATGGGCAGCACGAGGCGGTGGTTTGACCGCACGTCCGCCTTTGTATCCCCAGTGCTACCGTTCTTATTTAAGGACGAGTACCCCGTCAGCCCCCTTCCCACGATCAGTCTCGCTGCTTGATGACCACCGGCTGCGCATGACCGCTCTGACCCCACGTGGCACCAGAGCGGATCACTTGCCTCGTGTCCCGGCCCTGCAAGAGCAGCCGGCAACAGCTGCCCCCCGATTCTTAGCGGCCGTCCATAAATGACGTCATACAGCTATGGGGGGAGGGGGGCGGTCAGACATTTCTGATGAGGGGGGGGGGGGGTGAGAAATGTGACGTCACATCAAAATGCGCAACTTTAAATAAATATAGACAACACGTTCTACTTAATTAAATTGAAATTTTTATAAATGTTTTCCCCTACAACATCAGAGTGCAGCGCCGCATTAAATACGCACCACAATGACAATAGTTTAAAGCGATTTGAAGCATGTTTTATTTTTTTTGGCGGTGGGGGGGGGGGGGCAGAGCTTTGTGACGTCATATTTAAAGGGGGGGGGTCTGACTTTTTGTGACGTCGTGTAACGAGGGGTGGGGGGGGGGGAGGTCAAAAATCGTCCAAAATCGCGTGACGTCATTTATGGACGGCCCCCAGGAGCATCTCAACAGCATCCCTCCCCACCGCCGCCGCGAGAAGTCGCGCAGCGAGCGCGCTTGGACCCACGCGCCATCACCCTGGGGATGATGAAGCTGGGAAAAGCTGAATGGAGTTCACAAGAAGTCACCAACGAACCGCTCGTCGCGAAAGAGCCGGCGACGCAGAAGCTCCCTGGGCTCAGATCTCTGACGAGGATCACTGGGGGCCACAACCCCTGAGCCGCATCCACTTCGCAAGCCGTGGCAGCAGCAGCAGATGCGTTCGACTCGGTGGCGACGATGCACAGATGGGAAATACATAATTCTAGATTTGAAGCTTTCGTGACTGCAATGATTCATATTCTTAGGTTTTTTCGGTAAAGTCACGTAGGTAAAAAAATTTTAATTAATAAAAGTAAAATGAAAAATAAAATAAAAATCACGACGTTTCGGAGGCAACACAAGCTCAGGTGGAACCGTCACAGCACGATTGCTGTTTACAGGTGGAACCGTCACAGCACGATAGCTGAATACAGCTATCGTGCTGTGACGGTTCCACCTGAAAACGGAAGCTTGTGTTGCCTCCGAAACGTCGTGATTTTTATTTTATTTTTCATTTTACTTTTATTAATTAAAATTTTTTACCTACGTGACTTTACCGAAAAAAGCTAGGAAAATGGGAAATAAATAAATAAACTCTCCGGCAGTGTGCGGCGACTGTGGTCACCACCCAGGACAAGTTCAAGTTTCATGTATTAGGTGTAGCCCTGTGAGCCATTCGGCTCTTGAATCGGGTGCAACCGCAACAAAAAAAAACATGACCAAGAAAACATCTTAAAGTGACTATGTGACTAAGTGCAAACAGAAAATTCAAGAAAAGACAGCAAAATATTGCAGAAAAAGCACCGAATCCCAGTGGGATGCAAGTCAAACAACAACCACAAGACAACTTAGATTAAGGCCATCATAACTCTCTGTACTACAACAAACAAACATGGTCAAACAGAACCGACTCAACATCCCGATTGACAAAACACGGAGGAGGAAGCATCGTCGCCACCAGCGGGAGATACTTTAGAGTTGGGGCCGTCCATAAATGACGTCACGCGATTTTGGACGATTTTTGACCCCCCCCCCCCTTCGTCACACGGCGTCACAAAAGGTCAGACGCCCCCTCAAATATGACGTCACAAAGCTCTGCCCCCCCCCCCCCCCAAAAAAAAACATGCTTCAAATCGCTTTAAACTATTGTCATTGTAGTGCGTATTTAATGTGGCGCTGCACTCTGATGTTGTAGGAGAAAACACTTATTAAAAAGTATATTTAATTAAGTAGAACGTGTGGACCAATCAGTTTCAAGGACAATGCATATATTATCATCATAGTGTGTTTTTGTTTGCATTTTGACTGCAAGTATTGGGGTTAATGCAGACATGAATCCTTGTAAAAAGGTTTCAGTTTTGTTGCCAGAAGAAGGGGAAAACCCCTATTATTAGAACGTGTTGTCTATATTTATTTAAATTTGCGCATTTTGACGTGACGTCACATTTCTCAAGCACCCCCCCCCCCCCTTGTCACACATCGTCACAAATGTCTGACCCCCCCCCCCAGGTGCGTGACGTCATTTATGGACGGCCCCTTGAGAAAAAAGTGAAACGCCTCCAGTTGCCGTGCACGACCGCTCTCTCTCTCCCGCTGATCTTAGCGCGCCTGTTCCATTTTTGTCACAAGATGTTATTACTTGCTGATGTGTTTAATGCAGGCCTCGCTCTGTGTGAGAGAGCTCTGGTGATTAATTAATTATTACAGCGTGGGTGACTGCATCGGGCGCCAATTACCACCCTGAATGGCCGCAATTCACGACACCAATTTTTTCACGAGTAACATTTTGTGTCTAAACGTCACCAGTTCCAGTTAAAGTTCCAGTTAAAGTTTCAGTTGAAGTTCCAGTTTTAAACCCCTTGCATCATCTTGACGCAGATGCAAAAGAAGAAAAAAATCGCTTCATAAACTACAATACAAATTTCGATGTAAAGCTTTCGTGACTGCAGGGATTCATCTTCTTGGTTCTTTCGGTAAAGTCACGTAAAAGGGAAATAATAAAATAATAAAACATAATAAATTAATTCTCACGACGTTTCGGCCACAACGCAAGCAGCCGTCCTCAGGTGAAGACCAGGTCTGTCGGGGAGACAGCGTCTGAATGAAACACCACCACGCTTGGAGCGTATATTAAAAATGTTACTTTTCATAAAATGCGCCCAACACTTGCAATGTCACACTCGGAGCCATCATTAGCACGGCAGCCACCACTACAGCAGCCTCGTGTAAAGGCGCAACCCTGCAAGTGCTGGCGGAAGAGCGACGCTAGAGGGAGCTGTGGATGGTTATTTGGTCGAACTCCTGCATGCTCACCAGACGTGTTCGAAGAGGTTGGCGTTACCCATACTTTACCCCACCACACAAAACCGGCTTATCTGATAACGGTGCAGAGTACCCTGGTTTGCGATGTTAAATTAACTTCCCCCATTGTTTCAACAATATTGCGTAATCAGCGCGGTTCGTGAGTGCGGACGCGCGAGTGGGGGGGCACGCGTAATAAACCCCTAGGTGGTGGTTCAAGTTCAAGTTAATGTATTAGGTGTAGCCCTGTGAGCCATTCGGCTCTTGAATCGGGTGCAACCGCAACAAACAAAAACATGAACAAAAAAACATCTTAAAGTGAATATGGGACTAAGTGCAAACAGAAAATCCAAAAAAGACAGCAAAATATTGCAGAAAAAAACACCGTACACCAACGCTGTGTGCAAGAATCCCAGTGGGATGCAAGTCAAACAACAACAACAACCACAAGACAACTTAGATTAAGGCCATCAGTCTAACTCTTTACTACAACAAACAAACCTGGCTAAACCAATACACTTTTCAAAATCACCAAAATAAAGCCATGAAACAGTGATCATAGGAACTGTGACGGAATTTTCACAATAAATGGCATAAACAACATGTACCACCAAAACCCTGCAGCCCTAGCTGGCTGCATGAGTCACTCCACAACAGCAGGAGCATCAATCGGAGTATTATAATTTTTCAATGCACCTGGTGGTGGGCCAGCCAAAGAGCGATGTCCCTCAGAGAGGACGCTGGTGCGGGGGGGGGGGGGTCACCCGATCGGCGGGGGTACGGGGGGCCCAGCGAGACGCGACCGAGGAGGGGGCGGGGGTGGAGGAGGTGGAGGGGGCGGACATCGCGCCCCGCCCGCTCGCGGGGAGCGGAGAGGGGGGCATCAGCCCCCACAACCTTCCGTCCCGGTAGCGCGCACTCGCGACACGGGGATGCAGAATTAGCCTGATAACTTTGATCTAAATCGTGACTACCATTGGAACCTCATTTGCCGGAAGAAAAGATACGATAATTGTTTTTTTACCCTTTTATCTGTCAACAAAACTGACACCTTTTTTTTTACAAGAAGTCATGTTTGCATTGACCACAATACCTGCAGTCGGAATGCAAACAAAAAACATAACTCTGATCATGTATGCACTGTCCTTGAAATTGATTGGTCCACACCCGAGACAGCTTTCCTTAGAGCCCAGTCTCACATGGTGTTGGATCAGATGACGCCAAAAGGCGCACAACTCAAGGACAATGCACTATCAGAGAATGAGAGCTCAGGGTAAGCATTTACACCAATGGGACCTCATTTGCCAGTAGCAAAATATGATAATTGTTTTTTTACCCTTTTTATCTGGCAACAAAACTGACACCTTTTTTTTTACAAGGAGTCATGTTTGCATTGACCACAATACCTGCAGTCGGAATGCAAACAAAAAACACAACTCTGATAATGTATGCACTGTCCTTGAAATTGATTGGTCCACACCCGAGACAGCTTTCTTTAGAGCCTAGTCTCACATGGTGTTGGACCAGATGACGTCAAAAGGCGCTCAACTCAAGGACAATGCACCATCAGAGTTTATTGCTGTGGTTGTTTCCATCTGATGCCGGGCACTTATGTTGCGCCCGAAACGTCGTGATTTAATTTATATTGTACCTACGTGACTTTACCAAAAGAACCAAAGAGTATGGATTCCTGCAGTCACGAAAACTTCAAATCTAGATTGTCTTATGGTTATATATTCTTGGTTCTTTCGGTAAAGTCACGTAGAAGGGAAATAATAAAATAATAAAAATAGAAAACAATACAAATTCTTACGACGTTTCGACTGCAACACAAGCAATCATAATCAGGTGTGAAATCCACGGCAAGAAATTTTGAAAAAAAGTTATGTCTTATGGTGGTTATTGTTTGACTTGCATCCCACTGGGATTTTTGCACACAGCGTTGAAATGCGGTGCTTTTTCTGGAAGATTTTGCTGATATTTCCTGGATTTTTCTGTTGCGCGTAGTCACTTTAAGAGTTTTCTTGTTCATGTTTTTGTTTTGTTGCGGTGCACCCGAGTCAAGAGCCGCGTGGCTCCCAGGGATATACCTCATAAATTAAACTGAAACTCATGGCAGAAATTTATCGCAAGCAGGGGTGTCCTCTGGGGAGGTAACCGCCTCGACACTTGGGCCAATGTGTGGCAACAAGTGGAGAAAAATGAACGCCCCCTGCCGCTAGGATCTCAAATATAACCGGCACGGCCTCTTCCGCTCCGTGACATTGTGTGTGGCTGTGTGGGTGCCTCTGTACGTGCCCGTACGGGTGTGAGATTGCGGGGTGAGAGTTACAACAGCCGTGCCCTGCTGCTGCTGCTGCCTGCAAGGTCCTGCAAGGTCATGCCCGCCTGCTGCCCGGTGAGTGAACGACATGTCAGCCAGCACAGCATCCCGTGGTACAACACAAGGGTTGTTGGTGGTGGTGGTGGTGGTTTCCTTCATTCATTCCCTGTCCGCGTGGTTGGTGGTGGGATATGGGGGTGGCAGGGAGCGGTGGCGCAGCGGTTAGCGCGTTGCGCTACGAACCCGGCGACCCAAGATTCCCGCTCACGACCAATAATAGCGGCGGATGTATGAACTGGTGCTGGGCGACCCCTAATATCGACTCAGCCACAAATGAGTACCTGGTGCGGTGTGTAAACATCGCCACTGGGTAAACAAAAGCGACCGGGAGTGATGCTGGCCACCCACCTCCTCTTGAGCCACAGTGCCGGTCTTCATAGGTGTTACTCGCTAACGGCACTTGCCCCAAACGGTCCGTTAAGAGTCCACGGGATATCTTTGTCTTCGTGGGGATGGCACTGATAAGGCGCGACTCGTGTTGACAAACAGGTTGTGCCGCTTGTAAGCGCCGGGAGTCCCGGCAGCTGATACCGGAGGTATTTCAAACAGCGAATGCGCGGATCGGGGTTACGTGAACGTACAAACGGCACGGCGGTCAGAGTCACCGCAGGTAAATGGCGACCAAGTCACCGCAGGTAAAAGGAGCAGCGACTTGCAACGCCTCATTCCCGGTACTGCTCGTGAGAGGGGACTCCCCACTCGAGGCAGCTCTCGAGAGGGTGTTTGGCCTACTCCTCCTCCATGCTGACCAGACGCTTAGGAAGAGGTGGCAGTACCCACGTTTTACCCTACCAGACGGAGAAAGCTGCCGTTCGACCGTGGTGGGCGCATCTATTGTATACTGTATGTACTGCATGGTGGCCAGAGGCGGTGGAGGGGGGTGAGTTTGAGAAAGTTTGCCCGCCGTTACAAGCTGCCGCGCCGGGAGATAGAATAGAACCGGCGTCCTCTTCATTAATTGCAAGTGCTATGCGCATCGCACGGGCCGTGACAACTCCCTTGAGCTTCTCAGGTGCTGGGCGAGGTGGTGAGGCGTGAGTAGGATGACCGGGTCTTGGAGTCGAACCAGAGTGTGGTCAGTATGGGACTGCACCCGCCCAATGTAGTCAATGCAGACATACACAGGATTTTTCGATTTAAAGCTTTCGTGACTGCAGGGATTCATCTTCTTGGTTCTTTCGGTAAAGTCACGTAGAATGGAAATAATAAAATAATGAAAATAAAGGATAATAAAATAATTCTCAGAATTATTTTATTAGACATTGTTAAAAATAAAATAAAAAGTCCATCCCATGTGTTAGTGAATATAAAATAATTCTCATAATTATTTTATGATGTTTTATTTTTGTTATTTTATTATTTCCATTCTACGTGACTTTACCGAAAGAACCAAGAAGATACACAGGATTAGCAAAAGAAGCGTGGCCGCGACTGTTGATGAGACACTGAATGTGTCGAGTTTATTGACAGACGTTTGTATGTGAGCGCCAAACCGGTAACCAGGTTATAGTTTTTTTTATTCGGTAAATCGGTAGTGCAATAAAAAAAGAAACGAACAACTTGTAACAACAGCAACTAGTAACAGCAGCAACAGCTGCTCACGCTCACAGCTGTTGCGTGGAATTTGTGTTTATAAAACAAGGCCTGCCTAATGACAACATAAGAATAGGTTTTACCCTTTCTGGCAATCGAAACAGGTGTTAAGATTTTCGACCACCAACTATATACCTTTTGCAAAAGGCATCAGGTTTGCATTAACCGCGCACTTGTGGTAAAATATGCAAGCAATCAACAATGTTTGTATGTGTAGCAAGGCCGTAATTATAATATATATTTGGGGAGACGCATCCCAATATTCAAATATGCTCAAAATGTCCCCCCCAATATATTGCTATAAAAAATGATTCCTATGCTATATAAATAAAACAACAATTTGCGAAACCTTGGTCACAATATCTGGACTTGTCTTCATACAAATCAATGCATAGATTTCTGTTTATATGATTGTGGTTATGGTAGTACTTTATTAATCCCTAATCTCTGCCATTACATACAATTAAACAAGAAATGGTAAAAAAGTAAAAACAGAGCAATCGAATACAATACACTCTTAGACATTGTTCAAAATAAAACAAAAAGTCCATCCCATGTGTTGGTGAATTATTTTTAATTTTAGGCAGGAAATGAGTTTTCAAATGTAGATATTTTCTGGGTTGGGACCCCCAACCCCCTGGAAGATTTGGTCCCCCCCCAATGTTGACTCCATGGCTACGGCCTTGACGTGTCGTGACATCGCGGGGTGTCACTGTGCGGTGCCGGCCCTAGAGAGGCACGGCGTGCGGTGTAACAACATCGCGGACACCGCTGTGATGTGGGTGTAGTTCCGGCCCTATAGGGGCTCGGTCAGCACTGGTTGATAGCGCTGGATGGCACCACGCTCGGCGTGCAATGCCAGCTCTAGAGCCTGCAGCGGCACAGATAAAGGGAGAGTGCTGGCCGTAGGGAAGGGGTTACTGGAGGCCGTGTGGTCACATGGTCCGGGTCGTGATCCTGCTAGAGGGTTCTGGAAGGTGGGCGTGGCCAAGGGCGAAGCCAGCTACGCCGCAGAGAATATAAGCCGGGTCCCCCAGAGGGGCCAGCGTTGTTGTTCATCCTGAAGAAACCTTCGTCTACGTTCTACGTTCAACAAGTCTCCAACACGTGGACCTGGACCAAAGCTGTGGTCCCGGTCCGTAGTAGCTAGTTACACTGTAATTAGTGTTGTTAGCCTGGTGGTCACCATCATAGGTTGTTATTCTGTTAAGGGGCAGTTACCCCGTGTGTTGGTGTTAAATAAATGTGTTTCCTCCAAGAGCACGTCTTCGACTCAGTTGAACCAACTACATATGTTTAAACACCAAATATCTATGTTCACCAAAGTAAAGGTCTACAGTGCAGTGGTAATTCCTTCACTACTTTAATCTGTAGAAACAGTGACGCTATACAGACGATGCCTGAATAAACTTGCGAGCCTACAGCTGAGACATTTGAGACAAATCGCAAGAATGTATGATTCCAGGTGCTGGCAAGAGCTGCGATCCACAGGGTAGAGAGGCAACAGTTATGCCTCCTCTCAGTTGAGATGGTCAGGGCACGGAACTGGAATGCCAGAACATCGGCTTCCTAAAATCCTTCTTTACGGTGAACTCAAAGAGGCCAAAGCGTGTTCTTGTGGTGGCCAAGAACTGCGCTACAGAGACATACTTAAAAGCCACCTCAAGACAGCCAATATCAATGTGTGGGACACATGGGGGGAAATGTTAGCCAACTGGAAGCAGTGGAGAAGTGGCTGCTGTAGTCGACTCGGTCAGAGGGTTGAAGGAAAAAGTGAAAAAACCTCTCAGCATCAACACCAGCAGCAACGGCACAACACGAATCCCATTCAGCGGACGAGCAGCAACTCTTGCCCACAGTATGGCTGACGCTTCAGCTCAAGGGCTGGCATCTCATCCCACCAGCGCGTAGGAGAATGCTGCTGCTGCTAGCTGTTCTCCGCAGTCATCATCGTTCGCGATGGACAGCCAAAGAAAAGAAGAGCGAGGTGGTGAGGGACGGGGCAAGGGACGTGGTGAGCGAGTGGTGGTGGTGGTGGTGGTGGTGAGGCGTTCGATAACCGAGGATGGGAGTTGAACCGGAGTCTGTTGGTTTTGTATGGCACCCGCCCAAACGAATCAATGCAAACCTATCAAAACAAGCCTGACTGCGACCGCTAATGGGACACTGCATGCTGAAACCTGTGAAGAGTGTTGCTTGTATTAAGCAAATAATGCTGTCGCTTATAGAAAGTAGTTGTAATTCCTGGCGAAACGTCGTACTCAGATTGTAAATGATGTGGCTTGGCTCTCCAACACACCGGTGTGCTGTACTAGTGACGAATTGGCATGCTCTGTTTAAGTTACAACCCTTACTAATTGGCTGTCGGGTGGTGGCGGGTTTAACGACACATTTGTATATTTACGCGATCTAACCCAAAAAAAACCTGTATTATGGATGATATTGGTCGCGAAAGCCTGCTACTTGTTATTTCTACTTTGTTATCCGCGATTCTCAAATGCTGTTGGCAGACATCCCAAGTGTCTCCTGCGACTGTCTTTGTCTCTCCCCTCCTCGCTGTCTCACGCCGCCACTGAGAAATCTCACGCCGGCGTACTGGCACACGTCCACCACTGCCTGCTGTCGTTGTCAATACCTGATACGTGTTTGGGAGGAAAATTAATCACTCGGCAAGTCGTGGAAATATCACTTTCAACATTGATATGGCCGGGACTAGTGTTTTTTCTTAGGACACCCACACTGATCGCTTCCGATAAAGATGTGTTTTTTTATGAATCACAGGGGACTGATGGGCGGATTTGACCCGTGCTCAGAATTTGACCTCGTGACCTTCCTCCGACCATGGGTTGTGTGCTTGGCCGCAGCACCAGCTGGGTGGCTGTGGATAATTTACAGCTTCGGTTACGTGTGGGTCCTGTTCTGTGTCAATGAGCTGTTGCCATCAGGCAGACGATTCAGATCAGTCAAAACAAGGACAAACAGATTCAAACAGAGCTTTTATCCTACAGCGATCACCACACTCAATAATGCTAATTAATTGTTAAGTAATAGTGTTTACAATTGACTGTGAAATAGAGATGTGCAATGACAAAATGTAACCTTATGGGGGGTATGTGGGTATACTTGGGCTGTTTTTATATATAGTATAAATTTATTATCTTTCATTTAATTTTATTTTTATTTTCTTGTTTTATTTAATTTAAATTTATGAATGATGCCCTGACTGGTGAGCATTTTAAATTTCGTTGTACTGGTGACAATGACAATAAACGATCTATCTATCTATGCCGTGTCGTTCATGGGGGTGTTTTCACCATACTTCACCCTTCTGGTCCGTGCCCCTTTGTGAAGGGGTGCTCAGGATCGGTTCAGATATGGCGCGCCAATGATCTTACACGAGCAAAATTCTCGATCAAGGAAATCCTCACTTCACCCACGGTCCGGCTCGGGTTGTTTAATCAACTCAGTATTTTTTAAGGTCGATAAAATTAGTACCACATTTTTGAAAATTCAACAGTGGTTGTCCAATGCAGAGACTCGCCCCCGCCATAGGAATGTGTAATTTCCACCACTGGCCTCGGGGGTGATGAGCACCTCCTCAATGCTCACCTGAGCAGGAAATCACTTTGGCTTTCGACGTAAACCTGGCCATCGTGACCCCGACGGGCCGTGCATGCAAGAGGCCGGCAGTGCACCCAGAGAAAGCGAACAGCCACGAGAAGGGAGCACTCAAACCCGTCACGGATAGACCACAAACCTATTTGCTGTACTTCCTCTCACAGGTGCGTCTCTGGCCCCACAGGTGAGTATTTGACACGCGTGTCTTGCACAGTTATGGAACTGGGCGAGCAAGTGAGCGAGCGATCCGTTGTCCGTCTTTCAGGTCATGCCTCTCGCGTGCGAAACCGCGGACAGCACGGCCGACAGAGGCCGCAAGGGGCTGGGGGCGGCGGGAAGCCCAGGGAGGCCATCGGAGGTGGCGCCCGGACAGGCGAGGCCCGGCAGGGAGAGCTGGGGGAGAAAAATGGATTTCCTGATGTCGGGCGTGGCCTACGGCGTGGGCCTGGGTAACGTATGGCGGTTCCCCTACCTCTGCTACAAGAACGGTGGAGGTGAGAGCGAGGGCCCTGCAGCTACAGCTACGTGCGGAATCGCACTCTCTGCTCTCCGCTATGCCTGGGCCGCACAGCCATCACTGTGCCTGGACCGTCGCTGTGCCCAGTGCCAGATTTAGGCACAAGTTAAGTAACCTACAGCTTAGAGCCTCATATTGAGGGGCCTCTAATTTCGATAAAAGATTATGAAGTTTAACGTTTTACATAATCTCTTTCTGAAATGGTTTATTTCCTTCCATTATGACAAAAATATATGGGCATTCCTCGAGGAGGCTTTTAAAGCTTGACATAGCTGAGGACCAAAGCAATGTCATAAAGCGGCCCTACATGGGCCGCTGAGTGCCTGGGCCTCACAGCCTCCGTTGTGCCTGGTAGTCTGGTGGAACTGGACCGTTGCAGTGCCGGTTCTCTTGCGAATAGACAAGGAGGTCTCGGTCATAGATTCTCAGTGGTGACTGTGCCAAAGTTTTCACTCTCCGTGAGATGTTTATGCTGGACACTGCTGACCTCTCACGATGCGGTGCCTGCCCACACACGCATAATTACACGCCTGCAGCGGCACAGATAAAGGGAGGAGAAATTGTTAAGTAATTTCAAGTGAACTGGGAAAAAACCAGTTTGGCAAAACTATCAGCGCACAGCTCCACAAGGTCTGTATGAGGGCCGCAGGGCAGTAGGAGAGTGACCACCGCCATGCAACACTCGCAACTCATAGCAAGAAGCGCCTGGGTTCCATCCAATCCACTTCTGGGCTTCATCCAGCAGTGGATCGATCATCGCCGACGATGATGATGACGATGATGAGCACCATCATCACGTAGCGTCGCAATACCGTAGTAATAAATATAGGGTCCTTCAAATAAATGGAGCTCTAGAGACCGCACGGAGAAGATCCCAGGCATTTGTTGACAATGATGGTGAACAAGTGGAGACTCTGACTTTTTGAAGCTATTAACATACATTTGTTATCATGTTACAGTGTATTATCTGTTCTTTTTCCATTAAAAACGATAGTCCCATATAAGTGTTAACATTTTTAAAAGCACCCTGTATAATGGTAATACATTGTGTAACATGGAAAATATCACTTAAAAAATTAGACAGCTTCACAATGGGAACACATTAATATGTTTATACTTTACAGAATTGAAAATATAGCTCTCATGCACAAATAAAATTCGTAAATACAGTTAAGCCCTCGCTATGCGCGAGTTCCTAATTTGCAAGTTTAGTACATTTGCATGTTACTAAATGCATACTAATTCCCTATTTGTTACTCATCCATACTAATTCCCTATTTGTTACTAAATTTATACCAATTCCATATTTGTTACTAATCCATACTAATTCCCTATTTGTTACTAATTTATACTAATTTCATATTTGTTACTAATTTTATATTTGTTACTAATGCATACTGACTTCCTATTTGTTGCTAATGTATACTAATTCCATATTTGTTACTAATGCGTACTAATTCCATAGTTGTTACTTATACATAATAATTCCTTATTTGTTACTTAATGTGTAGTGATTCCAACTGAGTTGCAGACGTTATCTTGGGAGCAACACTATTTATTACATCAACTCAACGCAACATCACGTAACCTACACTTGGGTGTTGATCTAACCACGCTACGGCAGAACTAGACACGGTCCTGCTATACCGGTCCGGACCACGAGCTGGGTCCCGGACCGCGTGGCTAGAGGCTTCTTCAACCCGACGTGGATCTTCACTCACCAACAGTCAAGAACCCCGAGCCCCTCACGGGGCCCCCGTTATATCAGCCTGGGCTGGGGCTGGCTCCGCCTCTCGCCCCACCCACCTTCTCGATCTCTCTGGCCCTTTCCCGAAGGCTCCCGAGAGCTCCTCTGTACCACGTGACCACCCAGTGGCCCCCGTCCACCGGTGGCCCCCCTCCAATATCATCCGGTCACGTGTCGGCAGGTCAACCAGCGTATCATGCCCCAACGTAACCCTGGCTGACTGACGCTCTCTCTCGCCCGCACTGCACACTGTACGTGGTGCCTCTGTGCTAACCAGCGCACACCCAAGCCCCGCTAGGGCTGGTACTACGCCCAGTAACCGGGCTGCACATAATGACAACATACTATCCGCTGTGACCTCGCAGGCCCGGCACCACACAGGGACATTCACAGTCACTACAAATGCATACTAATTCCCTATTCGTTATTAAATGTCTACTAATTCCTACTGTTGGCCTCTCCCTTCGTCCTCGTGTGCCTGACGCTGCCCATCTCCCGCGTCTGCAGGGGCGTTCCTCGTGCCGTACGGGCTCACGGTGGTGTGCGTGGGCATCCCCCTCTTCTTCCTCGAGGTGGCGCTGGGGCAGCTCACGCAGCAGGGCACCATCGGCGTGTGGAAGATCGTGCCGCTCTTCACCGGTACGGTCTTGCCGAGTGCGGCGCGGGCAGAACTCTACACGCTGTTCGGTGATAACTGTCGAGCATTGGTGCATGGGCTCGTCTTCCGTTACGTCCCTGAGCCAGTGGTGGAAATTCCCCATTCTTATGGCAGGGGCGAGTCCATTGATAGGACAACTGCTGTTGACCTTCTGAATTCCCAGCAACGTGGTGTTCGTGGTATCGATCCTGGATGTAAACTCGCGGACCTTCCGATTTGCGAGGCACTCAGTATGAAATTGGTGTTTTTGCGATAAATGGTGAAACCAATGTTTTAAATCTCTATATGAGTGATTTGCAATCTCGTATTTTTCAAGTTTTGTGAAAAAAGCCGCAATATATTGAAGTAATTGGTGACCTAGTGGAGACCATAAACAAGCTGCGCTTGAGAACCCGGTTTTTTAATCGTCAGTTCCTGGTCCCAACTCTGGATGTGCCATGTCAGCGCCTGACGTCGGACCCACGTGACCACCTCCGCACGATTATTTCCGTGGCGCAGGCGTCGGTGTGGCGTCGATGGTGGTCGTCTTCCTCAGCGACCTCTACTACATCGTGGTCCTGGCCTGGTCCCTCTACTACCTTCTGCACAGCCTGACCACGGCCCAGTTGCCCTGGACCCACTGCCGGGGCTGGTGGGCGACGGCTGCCTGCTCCGAGACGTACGCGCCGTGTCCGTCCAACGCGAGCGGCCTCCTCCGCAACGTCTCGCTGTCCCGAGGCCTGGGCAGCTCGCGTGCGGCCAGCAACGCCAGCGAGGGAGTTTCGGCGTGCCAGGACACGACATCGCCCGCCGTGGAATTCTGGGAGTGAGTGGATGCACGTTGCGCTGTAGGCGGCGGCAGGCCAGAGGTCGCTCGCTGTAGGGATCTCTGGCGTAGCTCTGCGGTATCCGTTCCAGTGGGCCGTTCTCCAAAGCCGCCGTCGTGCGAGAGATTCGAACGGGTTCTTCATCTTCGTAGCAGAATCGGGATCAAAATTGGGGGAATTTACAACTCTGCACAGGCGGCCAGGTGTGATGCTGGCCACCCGCCCGCTCGTGCGCCATGCCGGCCTTAGTAGGTGTTGCCAGCTAACAACATTTGCCCCAACAGCCTACTACAGGCTCCGCGGGTGATCTTTGTCTTTGTTCACACAGGCGGAACGTGCTGCGTGTGTCGTCGGGGATGCACGACCTGGGCTCCGTGAATTGGGAGATGCTGCTGTGCCTCTTGGCCGTCTGGCTCCTGGTCTACTTCTCCGTGTGGAAGGGAATCAAGTTCTCTGGCAAGGTGACCGTGTGATACTTGGCGCGAACGGCATGGTGTCCATGCACGGGCAGCGCCAGTGTTTGTACCGTGCAGAGAGGGAGAGAGGCAGTCAGTCAAGGGCAGAGGGGCGAAGCGGAAGGCATTGATTTTGGGCTTGGAACAGGGGCATGGAGTTCATGGCAAAGATGGCTCGTGGAGGAGAGCTCCAAGCAATGAGGGGTGTAGTGAGAGGGGAGAGACAGGCAGCAGAGCCTGTGGAAGGCGTTGACTCGTGCAATGTTGGGATTGGACCGGGAGCTGGTCAGGCGAGATGCTGCACTCCCACCGCTATCGCTGGAGGGGTATCATTTGGAATGTAATGAATTTTTGATTAAAACCAATAAACACGATGACTGAGGATTTGTTCAAATTCCATGCAACTTGTTTGCTCCTGCAAGTATAAAAATCGAGACGACAAAGAGGGGGTCTGTGCAACGAGCTGCGGCCTTGGATCGCGATAATTCACCGAATCCCCGGGGGTGAATTTCTCACCGAGTGCCGAGGGTCAGGTGACTCGGATGCGGCACCTCACGTGCGGCCGAGTAAAGGTCAGAAAACGTAGGTGCCACACGTCAGACCAATGCTCAGGCAGGTGTTTTCACAAGTGCCTGGCACGGCTTGTAAACACCCACCCAGTCGTACACGCCGTGCCGGGCTTCGTAGGCGCTGCTCGCTAACAGCACTTTCGCCGACCGTGTTGGAGGCTACATGGGGGATCTGTGTTTGTCGTGCGGGACCCGCAGGTGGTGTACGTGACGGGCACCGTGCCGTACGTGCTGCTGCTGGTGCTGCTCGTGCGAGGAGCCACGCTGCCCGGCGCTCTCGACGGCATCGTCTACTATCTCCAACCCGACTGGGACAAACTCGCCACGCCACAGGTCGGAGGTCGGCACTTGGATAGCGGCACTGCGGCCGTGGGAACCTGCCCCTGCCAGCCCAGTGGCAGACATTGCAAATTCCACGTTTCTGTGGCAGGGGCGAGTCGATTCATAGGACAAGCACTGTTTACTTCCTCGCAAAGTGGTACTCGTTTTATCGATCCCGGAAAGGTAATGATGATGGGCTGAGTCGTGTTATGGCCCAGGATTAGCACCAACGTCCAGGTTTGTGTTCCCGGTAGGAAGCAGGGATGTGCTCTAGGAGTCTCGGACTTGAGTACAAAATGACTTGCGCAGTTCTAGAAATTGTGTGAGCTAAGATGAGGGAGTGAAGACATTAAAGCATTGTAACATTTGCAGAGAATTTTAGGGGTTATCAGGACCACTCACTGGTAAGTTGATTGTCAAAGTAAAAGTAAGTCAACCAATAATCAGTGACATAACATCATTAATTATAATATTAATAACACTTATAATGACATTATTAACATAAATAACGCATTCAATCAACATGAACACACCTTAGGCACAGACCGGCAGCCATGTTACATGAGTGACACCATGTCGGCCATGTTGCATGGGGGTTGTCTTACTGTCAGCTGAATTGCTGCTGCAGTGACACCTTGCCAAGCAACCGCTTCCATGCCCACAGTGCTGGAGCGTTGATTGGGATGCCCCGCACGCATACGCCGCAGGTGTGGTACATCTCCCAGTCAACTCGGTCAACCCACGGCACCAGGGTCTGTTCCGTGACCTCCTGCCGGCGAACGTTTGATAATTCGCGTCACCTCCAGGTGTACCTAGTTCGGTACAAGCGCCGCGGCTGTTGTTGCTGCTGCTGCAGGTGTGGGTGGAGGCGAGCACGCAGGTGTTCTACTGCTACGGCGTGGGCTTCGGAGTTCTGCCCGCGCTGGGCAGCTACAACAAGTTCCACAACAACTGCTACCGGTGAGTGGCGAGGGGGCGGTCGGGGGCTCCCCGCGTTGCACCACCACCCCGCGGCCAGGGCTCTCTCTCCTCTCCGTCCTTCCGCTCACGCTCACCCCCCATGGCCCTTTCCCCGCTCTAGTTGGGGCTCCAACTTGTGTCACGGACACAGTCTCACACGCACATTCACACGCACATTCACACAAACACAACTCGCACATCCAGACAACAATAACAGCCGTGATTCCCCACTCTGTGGCGATAACGTCACCACGGCGGTTGCGTCAGGCCAGGTACACTCTCACACACGCTGACACATGATAGAGCTGTCAGAGGTTTGTGATGCATGTTGAGTGGCAGTAGCATTTAGCCGCTATACTACTGCATTAAAATGTTGCTGTGCAGAGTTGTGTTGCGCGTGACGGTTACCCGATGTGTTCCATGCTGGCGCCGGCACCGACACCAGGGACAGCATTATTCTGACGATCATCAACAGCGCCACGAGCCTCTTCTCCGGCTTCGTCGTATTCTCCTTCCTGGGCTTCATGGCGCGCGAGCAGGGCGTGGACATCAGCCATGTCGCCGAGACTGGTGCCCCCACCACCGCCACCACCACCGCCGCCACCGCCACCACCACCGCCACCACCGCCACCACCACCGCCACCACCGCCACCACCGCCACCACCACCAACACCACCACAGCGCTCCTCCAGCACCACCTTCCCCTGTGGCTGCCACTCGCAGGGTCCTTGTGACCGGGCTGTCGGTCTATTGTCTAGAGACCCCATCAAAAGACCGGGCTGTCAGTCTATTGTCTAGAGACCCCATCAAAAGACCGGGCTGTCAGCCTATTGTCTCGAGACCCCATCAAAAGACCGGGCTGTCAGTCTATTGTCTAGAGACCCCATCAAGAGACGGGGCTGTCAGTCTATTGTCTAGAGACCCCATGAAGAGACCGGGCTGTCAGTCTATTGTCTAGAGACCCCATCAAGAGACGGGGCTGTCAGTCTATTGTCTAGAGACCCCATGAAGAGACCGGGCTGTCAGTCTATTGTCTAGAGACCCCATCAAAAGACCGGGCTGTCAGTCTATTGTCTAGAGACCCCATCAAAAGACCGGGCTGTCAGTCTATTGTCTAGAGACCCCATCAAGAGACCGGGCTGTCAGCCTATTGTCTAGAGACCCCATCAAAAGACCGGGCTGTCAGTCTATTGTCTAGAGACCCCATCAAAAGACCGGGCTGTCAGCCTATTGTCTAGAGACCCCATCAAAAGACCGGGCTGTCAGTCTATTGTCTAGAGACCCCATCAAGAGACCGGGCTGTCAGTCTATTGTCTAGAGACCCCATCAAAAGACCGGGCTGTCAGTCTATTGTCTAGAGACCCCATCAAAAGACCGGGCTGTCAGCCTATTGTCTAGAGACCCCATCAAGAGACCGGGCTGTCAGCCTATTGTCTAGAGACCCCATCAAAAGACCGGGCTGTCAGTCTATTGTCTAGAGACCCCATCAAAAGACCGGGCTGTCAGCCTATTGTCTAGAGACCCCATCAAAAGACCGGGCTGTCAGCCTATTGTCTAGAGACCCCATCAAAAGACCGGGCTGTCAGTCTATTGTCTAGAGACCCCATCAAGAGACCGGGCTGTCAGTCTATTGTCTAGAGACCCCATCAAAAGACCGGGCTGTCAGTCTATTGTCTAGAGACCCCATCAAGAGACCGGGCTGTCAGCCTATTGTCTAGAGACCCCATCAAAAGACCGGGCTGTCAGTCTATTGTCTAGAGACCCCATCAAGAGACCGGGCTGTCAGCCTATTGTCTAGAGACCCCGTCAAGAGACCGGGCTGTCAGCCTATTGTCTAGAGACCCCATCAAAAGACCGGCCTGTCAGTCTATTGTCTAGAGACCCCATCAAAAGACCGGGCTGTCAGCCTATTGTCTAGAGACCCCATCAAGAGACCGGGCTGTCAGCCTATTGTCTAGAGACCCCATCAAAAGACCGGGCTGTCAGCCTATTGTCTAGAGACCCCATCAAGAGACCGGGCTGTCAGCCTATTGTCTAGAGACCCCATCAAAAGACCGGGCTGTCAGCCTATTGTCTAGAGACCCCATCAAGAGACCGGGCTGTCAGCCTATTGTCTAGAGACCCCATCAAAAGACCGGGCTGTCAGTCTATTGTCTAGAGACCCCGTCAGAGGCTGGTCTGTCAGTCTATTGTCTAGAGATGCCCTCCATAGGTACGTGCGTGTGTATAACGGTAGTGCATGGTGTGTGTGTGTGTAGGCCCCGGGCTGGTGTTTGTGGTTTACCCGCGCGCTATCTCCCTGCTGCCGGTGCCTGCTCTCTGGGCCGCCCTGCTCTTCATCATGCTCCTGCTGCTTGGCGTGGACAGCGAGGCGAGCTCCCGCACCCAGCTCTCCCTCGCCAGGAGACATTCCTCCTACTGGGAACAACGCGTGGACCACTTTAGTTCATGTAGCCAAATCAACGGAGATACAGAGAAACGATGTATGTTGAATTTCTTTCGCACCGTACGTAGTCAACTGCTAATTGAAGGTGCGGGGGAAGGATAACAAACTAATCACAAAAAGCTGTTTTCAAGAAATTAGTTTTCAATATGGTGCATAGCTCCAGTGTATTCCTAATATCAGAAGAGCATTCCAGACGATCGCATAAGCGCATCTGAAAGTGCGCGATGCAGTGACCGCTTTTGTTCGATGATTAGACAAAGCCCGCTGCAAGGATGACCGGAGTTCACGTGATGGTTTATTCTCCTTGACGAGATCAGGTTGCAATTGTAGTAGGATCTGAAATGGCGTTAGAAATAAGGGAGGTTATAATGAATGTCCTACCGAGATCGCAATGCTTGGTCACATGACTACGGTTGCTCGGGATGATGTCATCACTCCCACTGTGAGAACCAATCAGCTGTCAGGAAGACAATCCCATGCAACATGGCTGTCATATCGTTAGTTATTCTCTGGCATTCATTTAATAATGTAGATTCAATTAGTTATTTATATACTTTAAATACATTTTGTCAGGAATTATGACACTTCATTATCGACACTGACGTTTGATTTCCGATTTATCCTGGCCAAGCCTGGACCGGTTAAAACATCGCTCGGCGCTGATGTGAGCCGTGGCCAAGCCGCCGAGTTCATAGTACAGTCCAGTGTCACTCCTCCATCCCGATGACTGTCGTAAGAATGTGGACTTCCTATCGCTGGATTTGGAGAGTAGACAGAGATGAGAAGCGCACGCACTCCCCTTTGGTATTTTTTACTTTGCTGACGATCGCCGCCACGCGAGCGGTCGTAAAGCATCTTCGAGCCGTTTTAAAATCACCCACAGGGCGACCTGGCCCTGTCCCCTCCCGTCGGCACCAAGAGGCCAGGTATCACTTCCCGGAGAAATGGTGTCGACATCCACCAACGTTCACGTCATGCTTGGGACCCACGGTCTTGGCGGTGCCAGCTCAGTCCTCTGACCTCGGAGCCACTTCCAAACCTGAACGTTCATGATACACCAGGCCATTATTAGCTGGAGTGACCCAAGTACTCTGCAACTTGGTTAAAGAACAGATGCAACAGCATTGCGGTGTTCGGCATGGACTTTTGACAAGATTTAAATAATTGAACAATCGTGACTACCATTGGAACCTCATTTGCCAGAAGAAAAAATATGATAATTGGTTTTTAACCCTTTTATCTGGCAACTAAACTGACACTTTTTTTTTTTACAAGGAGTCATGTTTGCATAGACCACAATACCTGCAGTCGTAATGCAAACAAAAAACATAACTCTGATAAGGACAGTGCATACATTATCAGAGTTGTGTTTTTTGTTTGCATTACGACTGCAGGTATTGTGGTCTATGCAAACATGACTCCTTGTAAAACAAAGGTGTCAGTTTTGTTGCCAGATAAAAGGGTAAAAAAACAACTATCAATCGTGACTAATTTAGCCAAACCGCGACGTTTCTTGCCCCTCTGGTCTCCCCCCCCCCTCCCGTGCCGCAGTTTGCGGGGATGGAGGGGTTTGTGACGGGGCTCACGGACTTGTTCCCGTCCCAGCTGAGTGGCAAGAGGCGGCGTGAGGCCTTCACGGGTCTCTGCTGCCTCGTCAGCTTCCTCCTCTCCGTCACCATGGTGACTCAGGTAGCGGCCGCCGACTTGACAGGTTGTCTCCCTACTCACCACGTGACCACCCTCCCTCATCCCCCACCACCCCTCCCCCATAAAGACAAAGATCCCCCGTATAGCCTTAGAGGCCGTCCATAAATGACGTCACGCGATTTTGGACGATTTTTGACCCCCCCCCCCCCTTCGTCACACGGCGTCACAAAAAGTCAGACCCCCCACTCAAATATGACGTCATAAAGTTCTGCCCCCCCCCCCCTTAAAATAAAACATGCTTCAAATCGCTTTAAACTATTGTCATTGTAGTGCGTATTTAATGTGGCGCTGCACTCTGATGTTGTAGGAGAAAACATTTATTTAAAAGTATATTTAATTAAGTAGAACGTGTTGTTTATATTTATTTAAAATTGCGCATTTTGATGTGACGTCACATTTCTCGTCACACATCGTCACAAATGTCTGACCCCGCCCCCCCCCCACTAGGTGCGTGACGTCATTTATGGACGGCCCCTTAACAGACGTTTTGGGACAAGTGCTGTTAGCAAGCAGCCATGAAGGCCGGCAATGCGAGCACGGTTCGCCGGGCCGTGCTAATGAGATTCGGTGATATTCTTAGGTTTTTTCGGTAAAGTCACGTAGGTAAAAAAATACAATTAAAATTAATAAAAGTAAAATAAAAAATAAAATAAAAATCACGACGTTTCGGAGGCAACACAATCCTCCGTCTTCAGGTGGAACCGTCACAGCACGATAGCTGTATCACTTGATACAGCTTGATACAGCTATCGTGCTATCGTGCTGTGACAGTTCCACCTGAAGACGGAGGCTTGTGTTGCCTCCGAAACGTCGTGATTTTAATTTAATTTAATTTTTATTTTACTTTTATTAATTTAAATGTTATTTTTTTACCTACATGACTTTACCGAAAAAAACCTAAGAATATGAATCCTTGCAGTCACGAAAGCTTCAAATCTAGAATTAGGTTCAGTGATGGTGAAGCTGTTCGAAGTCTCCTGCCCGTCCATTAGGGCTCGCAGTGGCATTCACTTCACTGGCCACGACCAAGGTTGCATCGATAAATGAACGAGACCACTAGGAATCATTTGCGAATGAGTAAACAGGCCTATAGACAAAGCATATCTACTCTTCTACAGTGAGTACACAAGCTGAGGGTGACTGATGTGTCTGTGCTGTGTCTGTGCTGTCTGTGCTGCAGGGTGGCATTTATGTGTTCCAGCTGTTTGACAGCTACGCAGCCAGCGGCATCTCCATGCTGTGGCTCATGGGCTGGGAGTGCATCGCTGTGGCCTGGGTTTACGGTAGCAAAGGCCCACTCGCTTGCTCACACACTCACCCACTCGCACACTCACCCACTCACAAACTCACACGCTCACCCACTCACACGCTCACCCACTCACAATCTCACACGCTTACCCACTCACACGCTCACCCACACGCTCACCCGCTCACCCGCTCACAAACTCACACGCTCACCCACTCACACGCTCACCCACTCACAAACTCACACACTCACCCACTTACAAATTCACATGCTCACCCACTCACAAACTCGCCCACTCACAAACTCACACGCTCACCCACTCACAAACGCACATGCTCACCCACTCACAAACTCACACGCTCACCCACTCCCAAACTCGCCCACTCACAAACTCACACGCTCACCCACTCACAAACTCACCCACTCACAAACTCACCCACTCACAAACTCACCCACTCACAAACTCACCCACTCACAAACTCACCCACTCACAAACTCACCCACTCACAAACTCACCCACTCACAAACTCACCCACTCACAAACTCACCCACTCACAAACTCACCCACTCACAAACTCACCCACTCACAAACTCACCCACTCACAAACTCACCCACTCATAAACTCACCCACTCACACATTGAATCACTCACCCACTCATAAACTCACCCACTCACACATTGAATCACTCACCCACAGCCTATTGACACACATGGTTCCTTATTTAGTCCATGTACTTACTCATCCACTCGCTTACCCATCTACATACCTGCTCATTCCTGCTGTCGGTGTTGTTAATGTTGTCGATGTTGTTGATGTTGTTGTTAATGTTGTCGATGTTGTTGTTAATGTTGGCGATGTTGTTGGCGATGTTGGCGATGTTGTTGTTAATGTTGTCGATGTTGTTGGCGATGTTGGCGATGTTGTTGTTAATGTTGTCGATGTTGTTGGCGTTGTTGCTATGTGCAGGAGTCAATCGGTTCATGCAGGACCTGACGGCGATGCTCGGGTTCCGTCCGCACGCATGGGTGCGGTGGTGCTGGAGCGTGCTCAGCCCTGCCGTGTGCTTGGTACGCACCACAGCGGCCGCCCTCCACCCTCAAGTGGCCATGACGGCACCATGGGGCCGGTACCAGACTAGGTGCGCTTTGTACGCTTCATGTAACAAAGAAGTCTTATGGAATAGCGAAGGCTTAATGGGTTGACTTGACCAAGGTGACTGGCAGATTCACTACCTGGGCCCCCAACTATACCACCTCGCCACATTATAACCGCCCGGCACTCCGCTCGTTGTGAGCGTCGCTCCTCCGCCCTCCGTTACCAGACGACTGCCTCCAACTGCCCAGTAGCGTCCTTAACGAGCCTCCTCCACGGAGGCCGATCTTGACACCGCTGGTACCGGTCATCGGAAATCCACTCGGCTCCACATCCTCCTGTAACGCATCACTCCATCTCTTCTCCAGCCCGTGCCGCGCCCATGCAGCTCACCGGTGCTGGCTGAGTGCTTCGACGCCCCAGACCACTCCTTAGCTCTGTGTTGCTGCCTGCATGTGTGTTGCGTGTGCGTTGCCTGCGCTTAGGGGATCTTCGTGTTCCACCTGGTGCACTACGAGCGGCTCGTGTACAACGGCCGCTACGAGTACCCCGGCTGGGCCGAGGCTCTGGGCTGGCTGCTCGCGCTCTCCTCCATGCTGTGCATCCCGGCCGTGGCGCTCTACAAGCTCGCCGCTGCCAGGGGCAGCCTCGCACAGGTGGAAGGAGGGTGGGGGGTTACTCACCACTGGATTACTCACCACTGGGTTACTCACCACTGGGTTACTGACCACAGGGCTCCTCGCTAGCGGATCACTCTTTGGAGAAGCAACGGTCTGTGCTGTAGTCACAGGCGGTGAATCAAGGTCCCGCTAATGTCCTGTGTGACCTTATGTGACTGTGCTGCACGGTGACAGTGATCGCGTGTCTGTTTGATTGCACATGTCTGTGTGTTTGTGTGGTGGCGTGTGTCTGCGTGGGAGGCGTGGGTCTGTGTGGTGGCGTGTGTCTGTGGGGAGCGGTGGTGTAGCGGTTAGCGCGCTGCGCTATGAACCCTGCGACCCGAGTTCAATTCCCGCTCACGGCCAACACCAGTGACGATTATCTGAACCGGTCCTGGGCCTCCCCTAGGTCGACTCAGCCTCAAATGAGTACCTGGTGCGGTGCGTAAACATCACCACTGGGGAGACAAAGGCGGTCGGGCGTGGTGCTGGCCACCCACCCCCTCGCGTACCGCTGCGGCCTTCATAGGTCCTCGCTAACAGCACTTGCCCCTACAGTCTGTTAAGGCTATATGGGGGATCTTTGTGTGTCTGTATGGAAGGATTGTAACTATAGGGGCATTTCAGTTAGTGTACCGGGAAAGGTCCTGACAAGGATTATTCAACATTGCCTTTCCAGGGACGCTGAGGAGAGGCTTGCACGGATGCCATATGTTTTGTCCGTCTGCTACAGCAGAGGTGTAGGGAATTCCAACAAGACCTACATCTATGTTTTATTGACCTGGTCAAGACCTATGATACCATCAACAGGCCTGGGCTGTGGGTGGTTCTTCATGCTCTCGGAGTCCCCGACTCTGCTCACAATCATTAAGGGCTTTCATGATGGTGGGCAGGCCCGGGTAAAGCCACGTGGCCAGGATTGCGAGCCATTCCCTGTTCACGTTGGGGTACGACAGGGATGTCCTCTGGCTGCCACATTAGTTCACATCATCTTTGACGACATAGTTCGAGAAGCTTTCCATGGTTGTACCGGAGGAATTTCCATCTGGTACAAATGCAATGGGAGGCTCATCGATGCTCGCGTGCGGTTGAGGGATGGCTTCCTATTGGTCAACCATGTTATGTATGCTGAATATCTGGTGATTGCTGCTCACTCATAGGAGTTGAGGTGCTGCTGCTGAACCTGGAGTGTGCCACTAAGAAGTGAGGTTTTACCATTAGCCCCACCAAACCTAAGCACCTGCCTGGGTAGTTTGTGCCCATAAACCGTCCACCTCCTCAGCTCCCCATTTGTGATGGAACAGTTGTGGAGAGAGTGGACAGTTTCCCATACCTGGGCAGTGTGCTTATGACCAGCTGCAGTTTGACAGCAGAGGTCTCGCTCCGAATCAGTCGGGCTGCATTATCTTTTCATTGGCTGCATAATGCGGTGTGGAAGCTACCTGGTCTGTCGCTCCGCATGAAGCTTTGGGTCTTCTCGGCCACAGTTATGTGCTCCCTTTTTTATGCTTGTGAAACGTGGACCCCTCTGATGGAACATCTGTGCCAGTGAGAAACATTCAGGCTGGCCTGCCTACGATCCATCCTGGGTTTAACCAGACTGCATTATGTGAATAGCTTACAAATTCTTGAAAGATCTGGACACATTTCCATCAGTGAGCTCCTCCGGCAGGCAAGGCTGCATTGGCTGGGTCATGTAGCCAGAATTCCCAGGCACCACATGCCCAAGCAGCTTCTGTTTGGCCGCATAGAGGGGGCTAAACGGGCGTGACATGGGCTGGAGAAGAGATGGACTGATGCGGTATGGGAGGATGTGGAGCTGAGTGGACTTGCCGAAGACCGGTACCAGCAGTGTCAAGATTGGCCTCTATAGAGGAGGCTCGTGAAAGATGTTACTGAGCAGTTCGAGGCAGTCGCCCTCCAACAACAACTGAGGGCGGAGGAGCGACGATCATAACAACGAGCGGAGCGCCAGGCGGCGAAACTGCAGCAAGTTGGCACAGTAGGGGGTACAGCTGGTGCATCTACCAGTCATCTCAATCAGCCAACCAATGGCACCTGGGTCTGTCCCATGACCTCCTGTTCGGGAGCCTTTGAGACTTCACGTGGCCTCAAAGTGCACCTGGCCTGGCACGGGCACCGTGGTGACATCACTGGCAAATGGCGGGTATTGGTATTGGTCTGTGTAACTGTGTCGGCGTTTGTCTGTGTAACTGTGTGGCGGCGTGTGTCTGTGTGGCTGTGCGACCGCGTGTCTGGTTGTGTGTGACCCAGCGCTGGCGTCACCTGACGTCGCCCGTCTCACTCGAGCTACCGCTTCACTTCCATCAGCCGCTCCCGTCGGAGCTGCCTCTGCTGCCCGCAGCTAAATAAAGGCCTGGGCTCCAGGCTTGGCTCGCACTCTGCTTCAGGCTGTCCATGGTGAGCAGCCACCAGTATGAGCAATGTCGCCGACAAGCCACATCACTGCCTTCACCTGAACCCATTATCATCGCTATGGTTATGCTCGTTTACCCAGGAGGGCTCCGCTAAGTTTTCGCAGTAGATGATTGCTCTGTGTATATTCAGTGGACCATGATGCCGGGACACGATGGTCTACTCTTGCGAATTACATCACTGGGCCGTTAACATCCACTATCAGTGAAGCAGGTGGCGCGTGGTAGTATAATCACAGTTGTTACACTGCAGTACTTACCAGGGCGGCCACTGGATTTGAACCGCGAACCTCTGTGGCGAGCGGGGGAGCGCACTTCCGCCGGGCCACGTACCGAGCAGCCGCCCCACACGTTTTGGCACCTCTATTGATGCCAGCATCGTGCATTGGTGCCGTGTCCTTTTCTCTTTTATCTGCGTCTCTCCACGTCGCTCGGTATTTTTGCTGCATTTCCTGTGCCTCTGATTCCATACATGTTTCTCTTCTCCAAATTGCACATTATTGTCGTGGTCGCGAATTAAACTATTTTGATGTTTGTAACAAAAAAAGAGCTCAACTGATGATTCACTCTGAAAACACACGAAGCAATTATTGCAGCAAAAAAACGACCACATTGCTGCAATGTTTCACACTGTTGGTCTTTACTTTGCAAAACTGGTGAAAGTTAGCTTCACGCTTTCTGCAGAAGCGGCACAGTGAGAGCGACATGGCAGTTAATGTGGTGCGCACTGTTAGAGCGGCACGGTGGAACCTCGAAGGGCAGTGGAGCCACTGTGATGCCATTCTGGGAGGCCAGGCTGAGGCTGTCGGGCCCACGCGGGGCCACGAATGAAAACGAGGAATAGCTCGGCCTTGGCGAGCTGCTCGCCCAGACACACGCGGCGGCCTGGGCACGCGACAGGCGCACACACAAAGACGCCAAACACCACAACACCACCATCGGCCTAACGCCCCACTCGCAGGCCGGTGCCGACTCGCCTACTGCTGCTCAGGGATAGCTGCCACTGGGGGTGCCCTTGGAATGTTTGCGGAAAGATGTGAGCCGTTCTGAGATGCCGAGGCACGTGAGCAAGCGCCGCTATGAATGTTAAAAGATAACGACGAGTGTCGTCTCGGTCCGTCGCCTCTCTACATTGGCGAACACTGGGAGAGACCGAGATGGTAAGGGGTCAGGTTTCACTTGGCTCGGGCCTTGCTGGAGGACACGAGTGTGAGCAAGGGGGCGCCGCCGTGATACCCAAGGCGTCGTTCCCTCCGTGTAAAATCCCGGGACGAGAAAAAAAAACCACGAATGCGTCCCACGGCTGGGCTGACGTATCAGAAACGTGAGACGCTGAGGAAGGAAAATGGAATGGAAAAGTGCCCAACGTAGCACGGAGGGTGCTTTGCTTTGAATCACATAAGACGTGAACTGTAAGCCGTGGATTCGAGAACACGCGCACATTAGAGGCATCGCATTGTCTACACGACAAGAGTTCGTGGGCTCGGGCAGAATGCATCGCTAGGAGGATGGACGATGGTCAACAGTAATAACAGTGGCAGCCAAGCAATGGCATCCATCGATAGGAATGGTCCAGACATTTTTTGTAAGGGGGAGCAACGTTTATGCAATGATTCGTGCGCTGCTGTGAACCTGGCAAACCGAGTTCAAATCCCAGCCACAGCGATGATGTCAGTAATGAGTATTTAAGGCCTCGAGACAGAGGCGTGGTTTCTCTGTGTGCCTATGTTTGTCTCTTTCTCTCTATGTATCTCTGTGATATCGGTCTCTACTTATATGTCTGTCTATATGTCTCTGGTTCTGTGTTTCATCTCTCTCTCTCAAATTTAGCATTCTCAGGAAGAACGTAATCAACCAGGTAGGGTGTTGACTGCTATGTTATCCGACTCTCTGTTGTATTACATTACATTTCTAAGTATACTAGATTTGTGTTTCTATTTCATTTATACCTGATGATGATTGCTTGTGTTGCAATCGAAACGTCGTATGCAAGTATTTAATTTATTATTTTCTCTTTATACGTCACTTTACCGAAAGAACCAAAGAGTAATGAGTGATGTCTGAACCGGTCTTTTCCTCCCAACTGCAGCCCGCACTGACCAGCGTGGTGAAGTATGGTCAAACAGCCCCCATGTTCAGCATCCAGCAGTGGATTGACAAAGGAGCTGTCAAGTGGCGTTCATTGTCGTAATCGTTATCCGATGACTCGTCACAGCGTAACCTGCTGAGAATGGCAGGAATGCGTCTCGCTTCTGGAACTTTCCGTCCCGGTCGAGGAAGTGCGAGTGGTTGAACTCCTCCGGGGTCTCCCACTGCGAGGGATCCTTGAGCAGCGAGTCCAGCACGGCAAACACAACGGTGCCCTGTGGCATGGAGACGACAAGACGGAGATGACACTGAGACGGCACAACTGTTTCATCTGTATTCTTAGGTTTTTTGGTAAAGTCACGTAGGTAAAAATTAAAATTAATAAAAGTAAAATAAATAAAATAAAAATAAAAATCACGACGTTTCGGAGGCAACACAAGCTTCCGTCTTCAGGTGGAACCGTCACAGCACGACAGCTGCATCAAGTATTTTTTAATCTTTATACGTGACTTTACCGAAAGAATAAATGAGAGATTTCAAGAGATACTACCCCGTATATATACTGGTTGAGGGGGGGCAGGAACGGCCCACTTTTTATTATTATGGTAAGGTGCGGCTTGAGACTACGGCTAGATTACATAACAAAAGACTGAGCCTTTATTATGGAGAGGTGCGGTTTGTGACTACGTCTAGCCTACATAACAAAATGCTGCAAATGAGACCGAGCCTCTGCCATGTAGAAAATGTAGGGGGTTTTTTCCATAAATTATGGTTTCCTCCCACATGTAAACACTCATTAATCGTGATAACACCTTAAAATATAGAGGACTGCAGAGCTTGGAGAAGTTTCCCCACAGGCTTAGGACGTAGCTGCTGCGGCCTTCCCGCTCTCCTGTGGTTCCTCCTCGGCCCTCTACCAGAGCGAATACCGAGCGGCGTCATTTATGGACGTCCCCTAATTATTGTTAGGGGACGTCCATAAATGACGTCACGCACCTAGGGGGGGGGAGGGTTGAGAAATGTGACGTCACGTAAAAATGCGCAACTTGAAATAAATATAGACAACACGTTCTACTTAATTAAATAGACGTTTTAATAAAATGTTTTCTCCTACAACATCAGAGTGCAGCGCCACATTAAATAAGCACTACAATGGGGGAGGGGGGGGGCAGAGCTTTGTGACGTCATATTTGAGGGGGGGGGTCTGACTTTTTGTGACGTCGTGTGACGAAGGGAGGGGGGGGTCAAAAATCCTCCAAAATAGCGTGATGTCATTTATGGACGGCCCCTTATGATTACCGGCGCCGTGGATCTCTCAACAGAGCGGGCCCCGACTTGCACGGCGGCGGTGCGGGGATGGGGGGGGGCACGGGGCCTCCCTACCTCGGGGAGGAAGTAGCCCTTGAAGATGCTTGCAAAGCGCTGCACCTCGGAGAGGACGACATTGGTGAACGGCAACTTCTCTCGGTCGGACAGCGAGGGCGGCCGCTCCCTCCCGATCACGGCAAGCACCTCCTCCTGCAGCCGCCCTGCGGCACACCACCACCACCCGCAACACACCGGGTCGACCAGGGGCAGAGGTCGCAAACGGGTTTTGATTCCTTACCCATACCCGGCCGCACCAGGGTTGCAAACGGTAACCCGTACCCGGCCGTCCCGTACTCTACCCGTACCCGGCCGGGTAGGGTACGGGTATCGGGTACCTGATTGCGACCTCTGGGATGAAGCCATGTTGCAGGCGCGGGTGGGTTGATTCTAGGAACTTGAATTGTGAGAAGAGACAAGACGTTGGGAAATGAGTGACAAACGGTGACTCACCAGTGACTCACGGCCTACCCGGCTACCCGTACCCGGCCGCACCAGGGTCGCAAACGGTAGCCGGGTATTGGGTAGGGTACGGGTATCGGGTACCCGGTTGCGACCTCTGGCCAGGGGGCACTGCCCGTGCGGCTTCATGGTTGGTGGAGCAACGCGATGTGGCTGCCCCGTGTGCAGTACTCTGCCCCATATCCAGTCGCTTCATTTCGACTGGAGGGGAGCTGCCAATGTTTTACATCGCCCTGTGTAGTGGAGAGCACAGATCATTGAGTGAGTAGCAACAGCAGCAGCCGTGGTAACTGTGATGATGATTTAGTTTCAATTAGTAATTGGCACGCGCACAGTTTTTGCAAAGCCACAGACGAGCGGGAAGGCGACCTCATCCGGCTCCGATAATTGCCCAAACTCTGTGGTTCTACGTTGGGATGTTTGGCCAATTCCTTCAATCACTGTTTATACAAAGGGGAGAAAAATCCACTTGCTTTACTGCTACTCTGGCAAGCCAGGAGATGGCCACCTCGATGTGCACGGGTCGGGTAACACGCCCCGTTCCGGGCCCGCAGAGTTGAGGTGCGGCGAGCATGGAGCGTATGGTTGCTTCGTGTCGTTCGCACTGCCGCGGTGTTTACTTTGGACGTCGGGGTGCTTCATCAGCAGCAGAAGCAGAGCCCAGTAAAGTGTGGTCGACGTGGTCTCCGTGCCGGCGAAAAACAGGTTCAGCGTCACCACGAGCAGGGTCCGTCAAGTACGTGTCTGGGTTGCCAGCCTCCTTGCAAACACAAGCTCACCAACCTCGCCAATGTCACCAACCGCACGACATCTGAACTCGGTTGTTTGACGAGGCGGGCGATCCGACCCGGAACTCGATCGTGAACCGGCACGAGAGCGTGAGAATCGATTTTAATCGATGGATCGGTGAAGGCCTCTCAGTCGTCGATGTCCCGCGGGAGGGCCCCGAGGCCTTGGCTTGCGCTGTCTGGCGAGGAACGCCGCGATGAAGTCCTGCGGCTCATCCTGCTCGGGGGCATTGCGATGGACCTGGATGAAGGACGACAGGAAGGCCTTGAGTCGGCGCACGTTCTCAAACAGCCTGGTGTGCGGCCCGGGAAGGTGGCGCAGGAACGTGAAGACGTTGTTTATCTGAGGAGCACGTCACGCCACAACGGCCGGCTGTAGTAAAGACTGAGCGCGGGACGCGGCGATGGACTACAGGGGAAGATAAATACAAACAATACCGCTGCTCCGAACGATGCCGTTTGGATCTACGTGGTCCGGTCAGAACCCTTGTGGGATCTACAACCCATAATGATAGAACAGCAGTGGTACAGAGCCATGAATCCGGCGACCCGAGTTAAATTCCCATATCGTGGCTAACATCACTGGCGAGCGACACTGAACAGATTTTGGATTCTCCTTCACCAGTGATGTTATGTACGGTCAAACGGCCCCATTTCTGACACAGCGTGGGGAGGCCCTCATCCAGCAGCTGACTGACAACCGGCTGCAAATGAATATTGTCGGTGTGTTGTTGAATTTCAAAACTAACAGACACTCACCCGACTGACAGGACTTGCTAACAACCTCATGTTTTCACTCAGCCAGAGCAAGCAGCTTGATGAACTCTTTGTCCTCATAGGTGAAGCGCTTCCCAAAGGACAGCGAGCAGATCACGTTCGACACCGCGCAGCGGATCATTGCTTTCGGGTCCCAGGGCGCTCCTGAAACACAGCACAGACAGCCATGGAAGAGCAAGCTGGTGGCACAGCAAGCCATAGTCATGGCACAGCGAGTCACGGTACAACAAGCCCATAGCCATGGC